ATCTTAAATTAAACTAGTACAAAAATCAATTTTCAGATGATGGAGTAATCTGCAGGTATTTTTATGTATATGTGCACTCACGTGTAGCAAAGAGAGAATGCAACATTCAGAATATATGTATACGAACAGAAATTTTTTTGCTTAGTTGCAATTCAAGAAAATTTTTTCCCCATCTAGGCAGAAATCGAGTAACCAACCTTAACCTGATCCCACGTGATAGTCCAGGATACGAAATTCACTTGTTCACTGGCTGAAGTTTGGCTCTTGTAAGGAATGTTGTTCTCAGTCGGCAAGGTGTTTGGCGATGAATCTCAAAAGAAATATATAGTCAAATGAAATAAAAAGATAAAAAGTTGACTGACAATTTAAGGCAAAATTGATACAGCCCCGGAATGTTACTGTTCACACATAAAAGGTTACACTGAAAGTGCAGCCACACTTGTCACCACTTACCTTTCTGGTAAGCATCTTTTTGCAAAGCATAAGAACGAAGTTTGCAGCAGAAATTGATTTAGAAATCATTATTTTACAATGGTATTTCCTCAACTCTGTATTAAGTTTCAACAGACTTAGACCTTTCTTTGGCATTTTGGAGCCTGCTGTAGGTGAGTAAATCTGTTTTCTTTTTCGAATAAAACCTATTGCAATTCCAACCACCGACTGCAGGTTAAGCTTAGAAATTCTGGGCAGAAACACGAATATTCCATGTAACGGAAATACTGCATTCAAACCTAGGTGAGGGTGGGGGAACCCTAACTCAACAAGCACTCTGTGGAGAAAAGAACCTTCTGTGGAAGAGGCTGGGAGACATAAAATGCCGGTCTAATTCACGGAGAAAAGGAGTGATAATGCATGAGCTCTCATACCCGTCACTCAAACCAATACCTTACTGAATATTTTTCTTGCCTCCAATTTATGCATAAATCTTTTTGCATTCAAATTCACATTGATATAAAGAAGCATCTTTGAAAGACGGACAGTGAGGATCGCATGTTCTCTGCATCACTACAGTGCTGTAACCAATGCACTAATTGCAATACAGGACTTGGAATGCAATGAGCTAAATTGACAACTCTGCTTCGATCCAAAAGGGAGGTGGACTTTTTTTTCCCCCCTCTGAAAGACTGACAAAGCTTCTCAGTAAAAATGCATTCAGTATAAAATACGGTTGCAGTTAGTGACTTCCTAGACATGAAGACTGTTATTTTAAAAAGTTTTTAGGGAAACTGGACTGGGAGTGGGAGGAAGCAAGACTGTCTTTGCTTGGTATGTCAACCTAATGTCTGAATGCGGATAAAATGGGTTTCAGTATATAATTCACAGGAAGTGACAGCTACATACATTTAGGTTTGTAAAGACCAACATAGCATTTGGGACCTTTTCATTAGAAGCAGAGAATTACCGAGTCAAGAAATAACAGTAAATATGTACGAAAATGTCATTTACAGCACAGAACGGGAACACTTGGTAAAGTTTTCGGACCTCCTTTTACGAAAGGAGGAAGAGATTCACCAAGACTATAGCAAGAATAGGAAGCTCAAGTGAGAATGCAGACGAAACAGGGACCATTTCCGCGAGCAGCTTCAGCTGTAGAGGTGTTTTGATGGGGCAGATAGGGAAAGCCCCTTTTCTTCTGGTTGATGTATCAGTGACAAGCGGCCTAGGTCACTACCAGTTAGTAGAAAGATTGAGACGTTTCTTTATTCAGGGCTATAGAAGCATTCACTGCTTTGCCATAGCTCATTGAGTCAGATACCAGTTCATCTTTTATTGGAAAACTGGATAAATATTTAAAGCAGAAGATGGCATGCGGCTCAGAGCAAGGGGAAAAGTGTATTCAGACTAGAGTTGACACAGAGATGAAGTAGTAGATGGACTCCTATACTGTAAAAGTGCAACTTTTAAGTCCAAAATATTTCCTAATCTATTCCTGAAATAATAGGGATGCACGTTTGATATATTTGACTAAAAGGTGTTTTTTTCTGGACAGTTAATCTGACTTTACTCAAATAATTATTTGAATCTTGCTTTTAATAAATGATCGCATTTCCAAACACGAAAAAAAAAGGGCTCTCAAACTTAGTGAAAGTTTTAAGAATGAGCTTCATAAGTGAAAATGGGGAAGTAGAAGATTATTAAAGCACAGCATATTATAAATCATAGTAAGACTTCATTATAGGCTGATTTCAGTTGTGTTCATTCAGCAAGCAATTATTTCTGATCTCATGCCATCAGTGTTCTTAGGTATGTGTTTAAGCAAACGCATGGAGGAAAATCACTGCTCCATAAATTAGATATTTTGTTAAAAATTTGCATAGTCTTAAGTAACATTACTTTTTAAACTCTAATTTCACTCTAATGACAGCAGGCTGAAGAAATATTGAGAAAGCCATCTCGACCTGCAATGCTTTGAAATCAAAAAGACTCGAGTGCTGAACACAGTTTGGCTTTATGAATTTCTGAAAACCCGTTATAAACTTCCGAGAAATTGGTCCCACCAGATGGAAGATGAGCCTTCCTGGTAAATGCCCATCATGTCATGAAAGACAGGCTCCAGGATCTGAAAATATCATTTCTCAGTTTGAAACTTTCAATGCACATTTGGTACTTGTGTATATTCTGCCCTCTACTGGTACCTCAAACTCCAAGCACTTCCCAGGGACAAAAGTTAAATGTAGTATTTCTAGTAAATTAAAGCAATTTTCTTTGTAGGTCAAGACATTGCAACACAACTTTCTTTTTTAAAAAAAAAAAACCATTGTTTTCATGAATTTATTTGGTGAACAGAGAATATATTTAGAATTTTTAGGAATTAAACGCTTCCCAGATTGTGAGGTGGAGAGTGATGTTAAATCCAGTGTCCTTAAGAGAATTTAAACATGTTTACGAAGAGTCATTTGCAAGTTTCTAGATGCATTATTCAGTGTTATATGTATCCCATTATATTTTTAAGCTTAAAACAACAAGGGTCTTACGGCACATATAACATGCCATGATGTCCAAGGGAGAAATAGCTTTCCAACATATAGCAACAGCAGGTAAATAGCAGATGAAAGAATTTTGGTTAGCAATGCAACAGTGAAAATTGGAGCCTTTACTATTACACAGCTCCAGCAAACTTGCATATACCAGCTGGTACAGGTCAGATTTTGCCATCAACACAGGGTTCAGTTCCTCTTCCAACTGGGGTGAATACATGGACCTGCTTCCCTTCTCTCTCTGTGGTGCTCCTAACAACCTGACTCACCTTCAAGCAAAGCACTCAATAATATGCTTAAAATAGTTGGCTTTTTACTCATTCAGGAAAAACTAGCAGAACTTCAGCTTTGAGTATAGGAAGCTGTAAATAATTATCAGCTGCTGCAGGAATCTCCTGAGGTTTAATCCACTGTACATCACCACAGTTAGAGATGCTACTCATAAGTATGACACACACTGGGACTCAAAGGAGCAACTATATAGGCGTATGAGAGCGCACTACAGAATGGTAATAGGAAATTAGGAGTAGCCATAGGAGGGAAGAGAACTACAGAACATAGGATTGTTTATGACATCCAGCATTTCCTGAGGAATTGGAAGTCAATAAATCGAGAGACTTTGATTGTGGGTAAACAGTGAATAGATCAATTATGCTGTTATTACAAAAGAACAAAAAAGGGACAGAGATGGAAGGCTCAAAGGAAATGCATACCCTGAATTTTTGTTATAGCATCCAACAGTACTGTTAACAAAGTGGAAAAGCCCTGCAGTTCTCCTCCTTCAGAGGCTCATCCAAAAATTGGCCCTCAGGCCTCTTAAAAGGGGTGAGGCTCTGACACATGTTGCATTCCAAAGACAGGGCAGAACCTGTCCAGTGAGACAAAGAAAGCTGGAGTACAACTAAGCATAGCTTCTATCCTTTGGTGCCAGGGGACATTATCACCACCACTACTTCAGTTGCCGCAATGGTCCTTCTCAAAAGGAGTGCTAAACTAGAAGAGTATCAGAATTTTTACCCAGCAAGATTCATATGTTTTTATATGTTCATATAAGAATCCTAAAACAGGCACTGGACCATTTTGTTGCATACCTGAAACTATTGAGGACCAGATTAGATGTATGACAATGTACCAAAATAGGGCTCATATTCAAAGATAGGGGAAATACTAAATTTCTAGTCAAACGTGCCCAAATAATATTTGCTGACTGTGGCCCACATTAAGTTTGGCCTACTTAAAGATATCACAACTGCAGAAGCACTTCAGGTGGCCAGAGACAAAATGGCTAAATTTTCACTTTCCTTTCATCATTTGTTACACTGCTATAATTTGGCATACAGTTACCAGATTTAAAAAACCTGCCTCGACTACAGATTCAAATTCAAAACACTAAGCATCTAAAGAGTTCAAAGAAGTAAAGCCAGAGTATGTTAACTGTTTTGAAAAATTAGTGGCCTAAAATTTAAAACCGTTCCTTGCCCGTCTGGGAACAGTATTTCAGATTTTGAAAGCAGTCTTTAGAATTGCACATATTAACGTCGTACACAGCCAGAGACAATACAACAAAATGGAAGAATAATTCTGCACACCATCAGCTTTGGTGTTGTGAACAGTGTACATTACATATTATATTATAAATCGAACCTGCAAATGCAAAATCAAAAGAACAATCTACAGAAGTTAACTAGTCCTAAAATTATAATTTTCTTGAGAAAACATGACATGTAACTAAAACAAGCTAATTATAGACTTTTTAAAAAAAAAGAATATCCTTTAGCACAAGATAATTGCCAGTGAATGAGACATTCCAATTTGGTGTTCAATTGATGAACACAAAGCACAATGCTGTTCTCATGAGATGATCTGAAGATTTATAGAATTATAATCTTAGCATGTCAATTCAATAATACGTATACTGATCTGTTATTCTCAAACATCTTGATTTTAGACAGGAACAGACTGCCTTGGTTGGGGGTGGGGCAGGAAATCAAGGAAAAAGGGGAAGAAAACATTGCAACACTGGAGATGAAAAATTATTGGTTTATTCCAGCACACATTCTGATATCAGAATGTGCATATCTTTTTGTAGACAATACAAGGATTCAGTAGGCTGTGTATATACACCCTCATTGCACAATAATTAATCTTAGGGGAAAAAAGTGTTAACAGCCGTAACAGCACCTTTGCAATAACAATCCACTTGAAGGGATTTTTTAAAAAAAGGGCATTTCAAAGAAGCTGACAGTAGCCAGGCAGGCTTCAATTTCACACAAGAAGCCAACGCATAAGCACTTCGTAAAAATTCTTCCCATCTCCAGAATCTCACTTTTTGTCCACCATTGTATAACAGGGAAGGCAAGTTTATTTATAAACCACTAAAGCCTCTGCAAACAGTAATCAGTAACTGGACAGTAGGAATGTCCCTGCAGCTCAGGTTGGTCACATCGTCCAACATTTTCCACTCTACAGGAAAATCTCTCACGGATCACATCTAAACAAACAATACGTTGCAAGGCAAACCTGCAAGTTATAGATCACTCAAAGATTCAAGACTAAAGGTTGATGAAGACTTCTGTTCAATGTATAGGACTGTAACCACACTTAAGCTTGTTTGTTAACTGCTAGCTTCCGATCATAATGACATGGAAATTTTCCCCACCTGCTTTAGAACTTGTCATGTTATCAAAATGAAATGTTTGTTGAATACGCAAGCAATCTCTCACATCTAAGCTTGAATAGCAAAAGCTTATGATCTATGGCCTTTAACAAACAAAAAAAAATCAAGGGCTATTTAGCAAATAAATCTGCTATGGTCCTTTGTGCTTCAAGTATTTATAACTGTAGAATATGTAAAATGTAATCTGCCAGATAATTTGATCCAACTTGGGTGATTCTGCTTAAGTGCAAGCTTCAGACATACACCTCAAGTTCTGGAATTCAAAATACCGGCCTAACGTTCACAAAATTTGTATATCATTCTCTGATTAGTGATGTATCATTGACCACTAGGAAATTTAAATTATTGAGGCATGCTGATAAGAAAAATAATTTAACATAAATCCTTAGATCTTATTCATTTAAAATTACAGAATAATTCTTAGAAGAGTCAGAATTCCATGAAAAGGACAAAACATCTGAAGCCAGTTACAGATTTATTGATAACCCAAGTTTAAAACAGATCCGTGAAAGAAAGAAGCTTTAAATATGAAGGTATCAAGTTATCAGATCAGGAATATGGAAGGGGATTGGTGTTTAAGTGAATACTGAAGCAAGCGAACAACATACACTCAATCACCTGCAGAGTGTGCTGGTATGAGTTCTGATCACACTGAATGCATACAAATAAAATATACAGTGGCAATTTTTAGATGTAATGATAGGGGAGTGTGAAACAGTACACAGTGGTAATAATAGGGAGTTCTTGTGTATTAGGATATGCAATATTTTTGTACAAGGCTCTGCCAGAGAGAATAATCAATTAGACATGCTGGTTTGCCACTACCCAAATGTAATATCACTTTCACCCGTTTACTTGATTGGTCAGTTGACCATTTTTCAGTTGCCTTTTATTAAAGCAAAAACTCAATTCACTTAGCTGCCATCATCGATTAATGAGGCTAAGTGGTTATTCATGGTCATTATTGATAGCATTTTGAATGAAATATTATTTAGCAGAGATCAACGGCTTTGCGTTCAATTCACTTCATTGCTGGCACGAGTTTGAATGTTCTGCAGCACTTGTAAACAGAACTAAATCAAATTAAATAAGCTTATGACAACAGTTTCCTGCAAGAATTCAGAACATCTGCAATGCAACTGCAGGATGCTGAAAATCACCATGTCAAACCACACAGCAGGTTCAGGGCCTCCATTTCCCTTCAGTCCATTCCCTATTCGTTTCAATGAAATCCAAGATGTTTATTATCTCATTTGCACACATTATGACATTACGCTTTTGCAGTGAAGGAAAATTTCAAGCGTTCTAGCTCCACTGAAACTGAAAGGGAGACCAAACTGTAATCTGCAATGTACTGTAGGAATGATCAGTACCAACTCTAGTGCAGAGATTCTAGACCATTCTAAGCAGCAGGATGTGCTATGTGAACTGTCAGGACAAAATTATTTATGCAGGCAATATCCCCTTTTGAAGCTCTGCATAAATCCCTCAAAACTATAATTGGTCTTTACACAAAGATCAGGTGACTGTAGTTATTTTAATATTGGCAGTAGCAACATACACTACTACAATTATCTCAACTTTCACCTCAGGTCCACAAACCAAAGTCAAAAAAAGAAAACTGTGGTGTTGGGCAGAAAGCAGGGGTGGGAGATGGACATATGACATTTGTAACAATATAACAACAATCGTAGAAGTAGTCAGGCCATGAAAATGATGTTATCTTATTCCATTTGTACAGCAGTACAAATCAGATCAAAAGGCTGAACCAACAAAATATTATTCTGGCATGATTGTGGGTTTGGTACTTTGCAAAGCCACCACTGTACTGACACAGCTAGACCTCCCAGTGTACAGATACAGCTTACAGAATCGCTTAGCGTTAATCCACAAAAGTTCAGGACACAATGTTCTTCTCATCAAGAGAAAGGGCACCGCTCTAATCTTTAATGCAAGTCCTGTTGTGCTCTGCTTGCGTTTTGTTTCGTCTGCTGTGCTGTCAGCAGACCTGGATCGTGGGAAATTGGCACAGTCATCCTATGGCTGGGCTACACAGCAGCTCTCGGTGTGCCATTGTGAGTCAGTGTCTTCATGTTCTGCATATTCACTTGGTGGCTGCTTGGTCTGTGAGCACTCACTCCAACCTCAAATACCTCATGGATGGCTTTCCGAAAACAATGGAAATTGTAGTCTATCAACCCTGTAACAAATCAATGAGAAATACATCTTTAGTTTTCACTTTTCATCATAACCACTCCGAGAGGTAGAAAATTTTTGCCACGTTATATAGGCAGTATAAAAAAGGAGAAATAATTCAGACTAAGCATACTGTAACTTAAGATGAGCTCCACAAGTTAAAAATGCAGGGCATGTTGTTCAAAATAATGGAACCACCAAGAAACAGTTAAATGACAAATCAAGAGAACACTTGCAATATTCTTTGCTCATGAAATGTTACAACATACTGCAGTGGAGGCGATGGCCTAGGAGGTATTATTGCTGGACTGTTAACCCAGAGATCTAGACAATGTTCCAGGGACCCAGGTTCGAATCCTGCCACAGCAGATGGTGGAATTTAAATTCAATCAATATCTGGATCTAAAATGACCATGAATCCATTGTTGATTGTTGAAAAAACCCATCTGGTTCACTAATGTCCTTTAGGGAAGGAAATCTGCCATCCTTAGCCGGTGTGGCCTACATGTGACTCCAGATCCATAGCAATGTGGGATTCTTAATTGCCCTCTGCGAAATCAGGGATGGGCAATAAATGCTGCCTGGCCAGTGATGCCCTCATTCTGTGAATGAAAAAAAGAAAAATCCTGGAAAAGTGTACAGTTGGGTTCGATGGTTATTCGGATAGTAATGGTACGTGGGAACATGGGGATGAAGCAGGAGACTGACGTGAGTTAACGGAACTGGATAAGGCACGATGGGTCAAATTGTCTGTCTGCACCTAGTAACTCTGATTGAGAGTTAAGACAGCAGGTATGGTTCCATCCAAGTTAAGAAATCCTTAAATCCAAAATATACAGATAGCTGACACTATTGCCTTTCTGGCGTAGGCAAGGGATAGGTTAGTCTTCTGTGCCACATCCTAAGCATCATCATAACAGAACAGTTTTATTGGCTTGGCACCTATTTCACTTTTTTTAAATAGTAAAAGGTAAAATTTAAAAAAAGACTGAAGCAAGCTTTATCAATGCATTAGCAAAAATTCTGGACCAAAGTTGAAATGTTCTACCAGCAACACTTGAGAAGTGGAATACATACCTAGGACCAGCAGCTCAGACTGCACAAGTGTAACGCTCAACAGAGCAAGACTGTATAAAGTGATGTGATCGCTACAAACATTGCAGGGAAAAATTTAGTACATTTATTCATCAGCAACTTAGGTTCTAGTTTACGTTACCTTTTCTCTCAAAACTTTCTTCCCTTAGAATGCATACAAGAGCAAGAAACCTAGTCACTTCCTTCAGGTACAGGACTGTTGTGTTGTTGAGTTTGATAATTGCCATAGACTCTTTATCATATGCACTTCCAGTGCCATCTTCTTTAAGTCTGCAGAGAATTTATATGTATTACTTCATAGGACAAAACTTTCTGATTCTCCATAAAGAAATTTAACACTAATGACTGTTATTAAAAAAAAGGAAGGATAGATATACAGAAAATAAACTCAAGTTAAATCATTGGCATACTGTAATTTCAAACACTAGACAGAAGATTATGCAGTTTGCTAGAAAGTCGAGAATAGGAAGCATTCCATTTATTTTCCCAAGGGCATACTGGACACTACAATATGAATAAGAAAAATGCCATCACATTCTCCATAACATTGTCTGCAAAAAAAAAAAAAAATCACATGCTTTGAAATTAAACTTAAAAACTGGAAGCAGAGGCAAGATGACAAGTGAAGAATTAGGAGACAGGACTGAAGGGGACAGGTTAAATAGAAAAGGCTGTTTGCAAAAATACAACTGATAAATATTCCAATTAAGGCCTGATCAGTCAGTGTCCCTAACTTGCAGCATCACAGGAAGAACATGGAGGCCACAGCATGCTGAGAAGATTTATTTGAGTGACACAAGGAATACAGGACCCCGGTTAGGTAGAGACTAGAAAAAACTAAAGTCATTCTCTTTAGAACTGAAACAGGTAGAGGCGTTTCAAAAGGTTGATGCAGTGAGGAAGGAGAAACTGTTCCCAGTGACACACAGGTCAGCAGAGGAAAAAGACTTCAGGTAATTGGGAAAGGAAACAGAAGCAATGCAAGGAAATGATTATTTTACACAAGAAAAATGTGATCTAGAAACAGCTGTCTGAAAGATGGTCAAATGAACTCAACACATTTCAAAAGGCATTTAGACAAGTACTTGAAGAAAACGTTTCCAGGCCATGGGGAAATGGCAAAGGAATTAATTATTTCACTAATTAACTATTAAACTAATTAAGTTAGTAGCACTCGCAGATGGCTAGCACAGACCAAATGGGCAGAATGCCTATTTGTGCACCTGATTCCAGTATATTGAAATTTACAGATGTGATAATCTGCACCACTCCACTTCAGTGAGAATTTGTAACCCGTTTGAATAACAAGACTTACATTTGGAGTGGGAACAATGAAAAACAGAATGGTATTGCAGAGTCTGAAATATTGCTTGAAACAGTTATTACCAGAGGCAGCACAGCAGGATCCTTTAAGCACTAAGTCATAGATCAACTGAAACCATAATGTGCAGGTTTGAGGTTTCCTGCCTTCTTGCAGAAGGGTCAGTAATGAGAGGATACAAATTTGAGGCAACTGGCAAAAAACAGCTAGAGGTGAGATAAGCAGAATTTTTTAAAAAACATTTTACAGCGCGCTATTGTGCAGATTCAATCACAGCTTTCAAAAGGGAATTGAATAAAAACTAAAGGGGGAAAAAAAAACTGTTAGGCGACAAGAGGACAAGGGAATAGGATTAAGTAGATAGGATTTTTTTCAAACAGCCGGCACAGGCATTATGGCTGAACCCTGCTGTGCTGTACCATGCTGTGATTGGGATTATAGGAAAACAACTCTCCACAACAGGGATTTTGGAGAAGACCAATTTACTCACGCTCAAACAGAGTGGATGAAAATGAAGTAGATATTTCTTATGACTTAAAACCAGACACAATAGTGAAAATCATAATACAGGGTTCAGAAGTGTACTAAAAACAGTAAATATTTATTAATGCTTCTCGTTACTTACCCATAAATGCAGGAGACATCAATCACCACATCTATCATATCACAGCACAGTTCATATGACTGCATGTCTACGGGCGAACTGTCCGTGGCAATATAAATTTTACTGACTACATCAAAAAGAAAGGCTTTCTCAATCCCAGAATTCTGCAGAAAAAAACATTTAGTTTACCATGATTTTTTTTTTAAAAAATTGCTTTAAGAAAAGTAATTTCCACCAACTCAAAACCAATACTCGTCATGCTTTATTTTAGAACTGTGACAGCAAACAGTGCAATGATAGCATATCAGCAATGTTTTGGTTACGAAGACGACAAGGGCAATCAGACTACAACCTCTGTATTTTGGTTGTTAAATTTCACCTGTAGTCATTACTTGACTACAACATAATCTATTCCTCTGAATTCCAAGTCATTTAATTGAAATTACTTAATTTCTGCAGTTTTAAATTCTCACGTTATTGATGGTGCACAATTCAAATTGTTGGAAATTACTTATGGTGCATAAAATGACAATCAGAAGGAGACTAATCTGAAGCATATGCTGAACAGTACTCAGAAAAAAAACAGAAGGAATGATAATGGAAGAAAAGTAGCCCAGAGAAGCTGCACTAGGTTGATCCTGCGTACGGAAAGATTGAGGTTCAGCCTGTTTCATTAAGAATGAGAACTCACATAAGTGAAACACGAAAGATTTTTAGGAAAATTTAATTGGGTAGATCATGAGAAGTTGTTTTTCCTTGTGGAACAATAAGTTCAGAGGGGGTAATCCCAGAGTAAGGGGTTATCCTGTTAGGACAGAGATGACAAATTTCTTCTCTCAGAAGGTAGTGAATCGCTAGAATTCTTTATCTCACAGGACTGCAGAGAATTGCTCATTAAGTATAGTTTGATAGTCAGACTTTTAAATCAGTGAGGGAATCAAGGATTATCGGGGTTTTAAAAAAAAAAGTGGAGTTGAGGATTATCAGATCAGACATGAGCTTACTGAACAGCAGAACAGACTTTATAGGCTGAATGGCCTACTTCTGCCCTTATGTTTTGGGATCTAAAAACTGTTAGATTTGGAACCCGTGTAGATTTTTAAGTTTTCAAATAAATTATGACACCCATAAAGTTCAGATCTCCAAGAAATCTTCAACTGAAAACTTTACTGACAATTTATTGTGGGGAGGATTTTTTAAAAAAGCAAAATATTGACAAATGGGGGTTAAAAAAATAAATGAACACTTAAGTGATTAATTGTTGTCACAAAAATTTAAAGGTTGTCAATTATGATTGGCATTTTCCATTCAGGGTATATATTCCCAATGCAAATACAGTGTCTTGATCCATTTGTGCTTGCAAAGTTGCACCCAAGATATTACACCAGCTCTTATTTTCTGCCCATGTAAACTGTTAACTCAAAATTGAACTCATTAATTTCTCTTCAATGAGAAAATAAGGCAAATTAAGATAATTTGCAAGAAACAGAAATGACACCAACAAAAAACCAGAAAGTGTTGCTCTTGCACTAAATTTATGCACAAATAATCACTGACACGAATGCATTCCCTGCTTCTTTCACTTTTTTCCAGATTTATGACGACAATTAGGAATCCCAACATAAAGAGCTTTTAAAATACCTTTAATGCTGAAACCATCCCAAGGAACTTCAGAGGTGTACTTGAAAATAAACAAATGTCAAGTCAAAGGAGGAGCTATTGTACACGTGAAATAGGTTGGCTCTACCTAGCAGTGACATTAGCCACAAACACGGCTTTTTCCCAATAACCTTTGGAAGATGGATGAAAGGTTTCACTCTTTTCTGGTCACCTTCTGGATCTTCCAACAACAATAATGGCCAAAGCTTATATCCCAGGCGATTCACCAAAGGTTGTGTCTCAGCATTGAAGGCCTCAAATCCCATAAATTATATAAAAGGAAATGAGCAAGTGATTTAAACAAAAACACCTAAATAATTGAAAAATTCAAATCAATCATCTACTAATAGCATCATTTCCTAACTTACTTTTCTGCAGAAAGAATCAAGTTGCAGAACTTCCCTCCCAGTATTTCCTGAACAAAATGCAGCAGATTACAGTATTATCTTTGTGACTTCACTCCCAAGTTATACTGTACACTGTGCATTGTTTGTGAAGGTTTGGCATTCCACAACGCAAAGTGTATGGTATTATTATCCAGTAATAGAGTAATTTCAGTGTTTAAAAAAAAAACAGATAATTTCAGACTTCTGATCCATTCTGACTTCTGACATTTCCAGTCAAAAATTGTGGTTTAATAAAGAAATAATTCTTCTCTCTATTCCGGATTGAAATGCTTTAAATCTAGGTACTCACCGATATAAAGATGTTAAGTAGATTTTCCAGTGTTGGCAGCTGTGGGATAAGCTTCTGTACAACTTTACTAAATGCTTCAAATATTGAATGATCATAGATGCTGGTCAAGTAAAAGCTGGCCAAAAGACACATAGTATAATCTGTAATATTGAACAGTTTAATTCTCCGAGTCAAAACTATTCAACCAGCCCACAATAAAAAGAAACTGATCAGATTTCAGGCAAATTAAGCTGTGGTTTTAAAACTTAACATGCTTTAGCCAACATTGTGCTTTTTTTAAAATTTTTAAGAATTCTACATAATTGTAGCAGAGAAATTCTAGGAGTTGAGTTTGCAGAAATACTACTTAATTAAGCTTTTTGCAGCCTCAAACGTGATCAAATCCTTCTGAAGCCAGAACAACTAAACAATTTGGGGTTAGGTTGCAGTGCCTACACTTAATGGCAGGATAACTGCTGGTCATTCTCATGAGCACAGGGCTTAGTCATCTCTTCTGTTGTGAAGAAAGGATGGATTAATATAGAGCAAAGAATTTACACAATAAAATTGTTTCACAAATCACTGTTCTCAGTAGTAGCTCGCCCAACCAGAAAAAGTTCCTCTCCTTTTTGATAAACTTCTCTGAAGCTTTGCAACTCTAAACCAGAATGCCCATTAACTGAAATGAACAGTTTACAGCCTTGTGGTCCACTCAGATTGTAAAGTAACAAAATGAATATGCTGTGCATGCAGTATATTCAAGCTCATGGTTGACCAGTTTCTAGTCAGAGCTCCTCAAATGATGAGCTGTACATCTCCTTGAAGAGATTGTGAAAGAGACATGGACCGTCCAACGAGAGGGTTTTGAAAATAAGACAGACCAGTTACCCTAGTCATACGCCCTTGCATTAATGTTAAATTTCAAGCAGTAAATCTCCATGAATAGTTTTATTCAGACGGACAAATGAAAATCTTTATAATGCCACAATAGTGCTAGAAGAAAGCTTAGTTGTTAAAGGCACAACTGTCTGCAGGAACAGTGCATGTACAGTGGAATTGTAAACTGGCAAAGTGACCGTCATGCAAATTGATTAGTTAGAAAGAGGTAAAAAATTTTTATACAAAATTAAAAACAGACAAATTAGGAAGGACAAGAGAACTGCAAGGAGAAATGTTTAATGTTTTTACAGTTCAAGGCTACATAGTGTCACAAAATTAATCCCTTAACACAGCTTCAAAATATTAAATGAACATTTGTTTAATTATCATAAATTAAAAACAATTAAAAACTAGTTGTTCTAGAGATGCACCTTTCCCTGGATACACTGACACCTCAAAGCATTTAAATAGGAAGCATAGGAAGATCTGGGCTGAAGTCATCCTAAAGGAGTCAAGGTTATTTAGGAAAAGCTATACCTGTCTAAACCTGATAAAACTAAGCTTAGTATGTGTAAATTACATAGGATTTACAACTGAAAAGAGGGCATTTGGCACAACCAGTCCATACTGGTGCTTATGTTCACTCAAATCACTTCCCATCCGCTGTTACCTAGTAGCATTTGCAGGGACGAGTGTGTTCAAATGAAAATAGAGTGTTTTTGTTAAATTTAAAGAAGGTATGATTGACCATAAGTTTTAGGATAAGAAACAGGCCATTCAGCCCATCCAGTCCCTCCACCATTCAATAATGGCTGATAGATTTCTTAATCCCATTCTCCTGCCTTCCACCCTCGTGACTGGGTCACAACTTGACAGACTATACACATGGGGAATGAGTATTCAGTTTTGTACTGCACTAGTCAAAATAAAAATTGTGCCTGCACTCTTTCTGACCAACCTTTGACCTCTGATGTTTAACACCATACCTAATCGTTATTATCAGCATAACCTGTATGCTTTTCTTATGCGTATCTAGTGTTCCAATGACATGGATCTTGTATCATACACTTTAAAGATTCCACATTCCTACCATTTTTCAGATTCCTCCAAAATCTATTAAATTTCTTGGCAAATGGCTTATACTGTTGGCCCTTACTTTCTATCGTCACAAATAGAAATATTTTCAATTTCTAAAATTATGAAAGGTTTACTACAGTAAAATGCTTCAAAATTGTTTGATGCTTTTAAAATAGAGGAAGCATAATGAAACGGTGAATTTTGGCTTACAAATAAACAATTCATTACTTGACACGAGCAAAAATTGGCACATAGGTGTCAAATGAAAGAAAACAACTGGTGTCAAATCCTCAGTATTTCCAAAATTTTGAAAATATATCTTCACTCAGCCAGATTCTTATGCTTTCCTGCACAGTTCATCATTTTTTTTTAAAAAAGGTGACACACTTGGGTTAAAAACAGCAGCTAGTGTTATAGCAACAACAATGGACCACTTGGACCTATAAACAATGTGACAGTGTATGTATTACCAATGAAGTTTAAGGATGACTAAGAAGGAGAAATAACTATTGAGAAAAGAGTAAATTAGAGTTAAAACAAGTGGGGGGAGGGGAAAACAATTGGATTAATAAGAGAAACAAACAATTCACCACTTGTAGGAATGAGACTCAAGTTTACACAAATTTCTGGGTCAGAGAGCTTGATTATTAATGTATCAACAATTACTGCTTTATTAACATGGCACTTATAAGCATAACTTATGAGTTACCACCTTGATTTGCTGCAGGTTTTAAAAATCTGCAAAGCACGGGTGAAATTCCATTCATGTGATGCTAACTGAACAGCATTTCTGAAGAATTGCAGCCAACATAGAATTTCTGGAGAATTTACGTATCAACTATACAGCAATCATTTATTTTACACCAAGATCATAAAATGGATTACGATATTGGACAGTTAAAAAGCTGGAAGCAGAGATTCTAAACTAATTATCAAAACTATGAAATAACTGCAATGATTTACTTTTATATCAATGGTTAATTACAAGAAATACATTTGGAGTGTATCCTTCAAAATCAACAAGCCTAACAGAAATGCATCAGGTATTCTGTCATTTACAACACTTACCTCAGGTGCAGTTTCTCTAAACCAGCATCAGCAAGGTCATCATTGGCTCGCTGGTGAATGTCTCTTTGGGTTTCTATCTTGTGATCATCTGACAAGCCATCTACTTTGTGAATGAATACTTCAAAATTGATTTCAGGATTGACCTTGTATGCTCTGGATACTGTCAAGTGAAGTCTTGCTAGAGCTTCCATATAATCATCCTGTCAAGGACATAACATTCATCAAGACAGCGTGTAATGGCAACTGCTGCTCCCAAGACTGAAAGAAACTACAGAGTCGTGAACACAGCCCAGTCCATTACTCAAGCCAGCCTCCCATCCACTGACTTCTTCTATACTTCCTGCTGCATCAGAAAAAGCAACCAACATAATCAAAGGCCCCTCCCACCCTGATTATATTCTCTATCACGCAGAAGATATAAAAATTTTGAATTTGTTTGTATGTGTATACAAAAATAACTTCTTCCCTGCCGTTATCAGGCTTTTGAATGGACCTCTTTAATGTTAGTGTTGATCTGTCTCTGCACCTTCTAACATTGTATCCTGCACTGTTCTGTTACCTGATGCACTTGTATAGTATGTTCTGCCTGTAGAGCACATAAGACAACAACATTTCTCACTGTAACTCAGTAGGTGACAATAATAAAATCAAACTTGACTTTAGAAAGAAGAAAAACCACATTACACCATCAGCATGAAAAAACAAGTTACAACAGCAAACAAAAAAATCACATTTGCTTTCCTGAAACAGCAATCACTATAGCATTAACTATTGCATTCACTGTTCAGACCATGTTAACTGTTTTGCCCAGGCAAAAGAAAAAAAAATCAATTCTGCAGATTATTTGCTGCAGGAGGCAGCTGTATGGATCCTGGCATTGTCATAAAATATCAAAGTTCAAATTAATTTTCAAGGTAACAGCAACTGCTGTCTCTCTCTTCTCCACTTGTCCAAGAGTGAACTTTTAGCTCACCTTAAAGTTGATTCTCTAAATTGGTTAAGAGTGCAAACATTTGCTTATCATATCTACACGAGCCATTTCTATTTTTAGTGTACAATGCACAAACAAAGAAAACAAAAACAAGAACAAGCTTAATGACTATACTTTGGAAATATGATTCATAGTGGAAATTCATGCAAAGAGGTACTTTAACCAAGAATTACTAGGCTGCAAAAGAGTAAACCTCCAGAATGAGAGGTGAATGGTAGAGGGTAAAAGGCATAGACTGACTGCCTACCTCCAATGAGATCAGTGGTTGAATGATGTCATGAATCACAGTGCGATGTGTCCAGGGAAATAAGTTAATCGATGAGTACAACAGGTGAATAGTAGTTTTTAAAACAAAAAAAAAGTTTCCAGCTTGTGTTTAGGTCTCTGGTATTTTCTTCTCAAAAAACTGTGTAAGCAGAGATTTATATTGGTAATTTTTTTTTTTAAAAAGTTGTAAGAATGAAATATTACAGTAAAAGTATAAACAGCTGGGAATCCAGTGTCATTAGTTTATAAATTTAATCAAATAATGATGGCAGGATGAGTGATATATATGGAAGCTGCTGGACATCAATGTGATCCAGAGTAAAACATAAGTGTTCGCAGCTCAAGGAACTTCAGATCAGAGTTGAGGAGCTGGGATCAGAGTTGCAGAGGAGGAAAAAGAGGGAAAAGAGAAGCAAGGGAGGAGATGTGTGCTATGGTTGGATCTGGCAATACTTAATGAAGCAAGTTTATTAAAATGATGTCAGAGTAAAAGGTCAGAAAAGAGTGAATATAACATGGTAGAATTTAGCAGTTTGAGGGAAGAGGAACTTGGGTCAGAAAAAATTACAACTAACCTTTTCTAAGCTTAGCAAAAGAATGAAGGCAGGCTGGCTGCAGTGGTCCAGGAAAGGAATCTAGCAGCAAAGGGCAGACATTCAAGAATACAGTTCATGGCTCACAGCAAAGATATATCCTAGTGAGGAAGGAGGATTCTAGGAGGGGGATAAGCCAAGCATGGTTAAGCAGCTAAGGTCAGGAAAGCATCAAAACAGCAAAAACAAAAGAGAAAGAAGATAAACTTTAACAGGAAATTTGTAAGAAGTATCAATACAGACAGCGAGAGCTTCTTTAAATATACAGAGGCGAGTACAATTACAACATTTAAAAGACATTTTGACAGGTACGTAGATAATAAAAGTTTAGAAGGATATGGGCCAAGAAATAATAAATGGGACTATTTCAGTTTAGGAAACCTGGTCAGAGGGTCTGTTTCCACACTGTATGACTTGGAGAGAGAAAAGCCAGAGTGAATATAAGCCCCTTAAAAAAAACAAGGCTAGGAAAATAATAATGGCCAACCAGGAAATGGCAGAGGAGTTGAATAAATAGACTGCAGTCTTCACAGTAAAAGACACCAATAGCATTCCAAGATTACTAAGTAATCAATCAACAGACAAAAAGGAGGAGAGGAAATAAACGCAATAACTATCACTAGAGAAAAAGTGCTAGGGAAACTAATCGGACCAAAGACAGATAGGTCCCCTGGACCTGAAGGGATGCATCCTAGAATATTAAAGGAAGTAGCTACAGAGATGTTGGACGAACTGGTAGTAAGCCCCAGAGAATCTTTAGATTCTGGAAATGTCTCAATTGGAAAGCTGCCAATATAAAACTTTAAAAAGGCAAAAGAAAACACAGGTAATTGTAGGCCAGTTAGCTTAGCATCTGTTATTGGGAAATGGTCTATTAAGGTCACTTAGAAATATACAGTATGATCAAGCAGAGTCAACATGGCTCCATGAAGGGGAAATCATGCTGACAAATTAATGAAATTCTTTGATGTCTTTAGTAGGATAGATAACGAGGAAGCAGTGGATGTAATATACAGTAAACTTTTTATTATCTGGCAGGAGTGTGCTGATTTGATTAAATATTCCAGGTAATCAAGAGGTTCAAAATCAATGTAAAAACACACATTAAGTAATAGAAACATAATACAGGAGGTATACTCACTTATACTTTATTGCAGCATAAATCACAAATTATAAAGCAACTTTGCCTTAAATAAAACTTACCAATAAAGAGCCTTCTCACTTGCTGACTATGTGGCATTTGAGAAGAAATTGACTCAAAATTGAATCAACTCTTCATATTTCGCGTGGTCATTTGATTGAACAAGTACATTTTCATTGAGGTAAGTAAATTTTGAGAGAGAATAACTGAGTAAACTTCGCAGTATTTGAGGTATATAATTTTTGCCAGTTTATTGAGTGCCAGTTAAAACAAAGTTTGCTTTATTTAGATCTTCACAAGGCATTTGATATGGAACCACACATTAGGCTACTTAAGACAAGAGCCCATGGTGTTGGAGGTAGTACATTAACATTTATACAGGATTGGTCAACTAATAAAGAAGTTGAGATAAGGGGGACATTTTCAGGATGGCAACCAGTATCTTGTGGCCTGCCAGAGGGATCAGTGCCGGGACCACAACCATTTGTGATTCAAGTCATTGATATAGTAAGTGGTGAAACCACCCCTCCAACCCTCACTGATTTTTAATTATTTTTTTTTTTTTTTAAAAAACTTTTGTTCTTTTATTCAGTTCCATTTGGAGTTGTGATCTAGGAACAGAGAGCTGGAAAAGAAAGACTTGTGGATTTTGAGACAGCTTACATTAAAAAAAAGACTAAATAAGACTTGTTTGTTCATCAGGCCAGGCTTGGAGGCTAATTGCAGGCAGATTCTTGATTAAAGGTTTCTATCAGACACAGAGACCCTGGGAAGAGCATTCTGTTTAAACAGACAACAGACATTGGCTATTAACAAGGTCAGTATCTGAAAATTGATCTGGAGACCAAGTCTGGAAAAATTCTTATATTCAAGTAGATGGCAGTGTTGACTGGTAGTCAAGGCCTCTGGATGATACAACCAATGTAACGTATCAGAGCACAGCCAGAATTGAAGTTTTTGAATTATGTTTTTTGAGGAGACAAGCCTGGTTGCTGACAAGACAGCATGAAGATTGGAACACTCCCTGCCTAGTCTGCTGCACCAGCTTCTACAAATCCGAAGAGTAGAAAGCCAAGTTAGGTGTATTACTACCTGTACCCAAGTGAACCGAGGAGGCGACCCTAATCAACAGTTTTTGTAAAGCAATGAAGGAGTCCACATCTACGCCTGTGAAACAACACTTCGTGAAAGACAAATAAGTAACCTGGCCAGTTATTTTTATTTTATTTATCCCTTAACCATGTTTGTCTATGTGCTTTTTGTTTAGTGGACTTGACAGTTGTTGCAAAGTGGTAATTTCTGTTTGTGGGACAGTCTGGGACCAGACAGCATAATCTCAAAATAAAGGGTCAAATATTCAAGTCAGGAACTGAGGAGGAATTGGTTTTCTCAGAGGGTAATGAATCTGCGGAATTCTCATCTGCAGAGGGGTGTACAGGCTGGGTTGTTAGGCATATCCAAACCCTAGATGGACAGATTTTTAATCAGCAAGAAAATCAAGGGACATTAGGAAAAGGCAAGTGGAGTTGAGGATCATCAGATCAATCATGATCTTAGTGAATGGTAAAGCAGACTGGATGGACTGAATATCCTACTACTAGATCAGAATCCCTACAGTGTGGAAACAGGCCCTTCAGCCCAACAAGTCCTCACCAACCTGCAGAACATCCCACCCAGACCCATTCCCCCATAACCCACCTAAGCTACACATCCCTGAACACTATGGGCAATTTAGCGTGGCCAATCCACCTAGCCTGCACATCTTTGGACTGTGGGAGGAAACCAGAGCACCCGGAGAAAACCCACATAGACACAGGGAGAATGTGCAAACTCCACACAGTCACCCAAGGGTGGGATCAAACCCAGGTCCTGGTGCTGTGAGGCAGCAGTGCTAACTACTGTGCCGCCCCACTATACTACTCCTCCATCTGATGATCTTACGGCCTTAACAGCACTTTTTCACATTTGCCCTCTTACCTGCTTGGCCTTGAAGATGGCTCAAGTTTAGTTTCCATATTTAGAAAAGCACTTATCTAATTGACCCTTGGGCACTGGGCAATTCATCCATAGGAGACATCAAGACAAATTCTCTCCTACTGGAGATCTACTTTTAAGCAGCTTTGAGGCTTCCTTAATAAAACTGCTCATTAAAAGAAAGATTGCAAGGGTTGGATATAACTATACCTTGCTCTCATGTTATTCAGTGCCTATCAAGTTGTATAG